TTCCAAGCATAGCAGTCTATTTGGAATTGCAAATAATGCCCATCACACACCGCATTGCAAGGCATCTTAATGAAAAACTACCTGGCACAGAGTGATCCCATTGGCCTCCCCAGCTTGTAATGCTCCATGGGAGTGAGTAATGTCTCAGCATCCAACCACCAGTACATTAGCAGATCACACCAGAACCCTGCCAAAAGCATTCAGAGGAATCATTCCCGGAAGAGACAGGCTTCACTGGGAGAACTTGCACAACCTGCTTGTCACTGCCAGCCCCCAGAGCTTGACAGGGCAAAGAAAAAGATCGGTGGTAGCAGGAGGCAAAGAAAACCCATCCAGAGCAGAGTGGTTCCCAACAGATCATCATCTTTACATGAGTCTTGAAAATCCCCAAAGACCTTCTGGTACCTTGCTGCACACTTCCTTTGAGAAGAAACTTTTCCTAATGTCCAATATGACATATGTTGGGGCTGTTAACACATATTAATCCCTCTTCAACCAAAAAATGTCAGGAAGCTACTGCAGCAATGTTAGCCTCCTCTTTATTATCTTGTCCCAAAAGCATCTCATATTCCAAGTCTTGGAGTGAATCTTGAAACCACATTAACTCTAGAAATGACAGTCACAGGCTGACTGGACAAAACAGTGCAGCATGGCTGCCAAGACAAAATCAGGCCCCAGTCCAGTGTTTGACCAGCTCTCATCCTGCCTTCCCCAGTTTTCAGGGCCTGGATCATGCTGTAAGCATGCAATTGCATGGTTTGCACAAGCAGCAGCTGCACCATTGAAGCACACCAGACTTCCACTGGTTTATCTTCTGCACTGTTCCACTACAGTGAGATGAAAAAAATTTTCATATAGTATGAAAAATCCAACCCCTAGGATCATAGAGGAACTTGGCCTGGCTGCAGCAACCTGCAATATACAAATGTCTTAGACAAATGCCCTCTCCTGCTCTTATTGGGGCATTATAGTGCATTTCTCATCTTTATTCCAGAAGTTTGGGAGAATTTATACCAGAATCTGGGAGATGTCCCTGCCCAAGACAATGGGGATTGGGACTAGATCATCTTTAAGATTCCTTCCAACCCTTAATATTCAATGATTCTGTGGAGTTTGCCTCTGGTTACTGAAAAAGGCAAAGGCATATATACATGGGATAACTAAAGTATGCAGTGATCATAGCTGCAGCATCTCCATAGACAGTAGATTGAAATTGTTATCCAGAAAAAGCTAGAAATGCACATCTTTTCTTCTCATGTTGAAAAAAACCCAGCCACAATGACACAGAATTTGTAGTAATTCACAGAAAAAGCATGGACAAAATTAAGTACTTCCTGTAAACAGCGACTTTCATCAGAGGGACAACTCTGAAACCTAAAAAAAAAACAGTTCCCATTTCCCATTCTACCAGTGATCCCACCAGGAGAGCAATCCTACAAATGTGTTTTATTTACACATTATTTATTATTAGCTTCTTGGAATCTTTTGGAAAACCTACTATCAAGAAACGAGATAGTGAAATTTAAAACTGTAAGAGCATTAAAGATGCTGCTACCTTTTTTTGCACATCCTTATCCTAGAAATCAGGGAGAGAGGAAGGAAGAAAAGATCATATGAGGAATCTAATCATCTTCACAAGAAGGTTGGAGAGAGCATCTGATGAGCAGAACAAGGAAAAATTTCATGCACTAACATAAACATCTAGAGGGAAAACAAATGTAGACTCAAAACTGCTCACTGAATTTGTACACAGCATATGTGTTCCGAGAGGAATGGTTTTGGGAAAAGAATGGCTTGTAGATCTTTGGGGAATAACAGTATTTTTCACTAAAAATCCTCCTTTCTTTAGAAAAGCCTTGACAAGAAAACATTTTATCTGAACTCTCCAAGGTCCCTCAAGAGCTTCATGACCTTGCTCAATAAATGCTTCTATTAGGGAAGATTGATACTTGAAGCCCAAATAGAAATCTGCTTTTTCCAATATCAGATCCACTGAATTAAACCAAGTGCCCTCCATAAGAACATAGAGAACACAAACCTCACTTCTACACAGACTAGCATTTTTGTATTTTCCTAATGATTTCCACTTCAAGATCCTCAGGTATTGTACAAAGCAGAAATGAATTCTGCTCCACACCACCACTTTGTGGTAGCTAAGTAGTACTATCCTCGTTTGACATGGAAGAGGAGATCCAGAGAGGTTAATTGTCTTTCCTAAGGTCACAGAAAAAGCCTCTGGGCAGGACAAAGCAGAGAACCCAAATTCCCTGATCTCACCAGCTTTTTGCCTCTATCATAATCCTGACCTCACTATCTGCAAATACAGAAAACAAAAGTTTGTTGCCTGGAAGGGATTATGTTTTAGTAAGTTAAATTGTGATTTCAGGGACGTGTGAGAAAAGGGGGATAGGAGATTCACAGACACTTGCTTTTAAAATAACAATAATTAAGAAACAGAGGGTTTTAACAATCTAGTTAACAAGATGTCCAGCAGCTGCAAAGACCTCCCTTTTGTGGAGTGTCTGCAGATCTTTGCAAATCCATCCAGTTTTCAGGAATACCCCACCACGAATGCACAGAACTTGATTGATCATGTTTTTAATAATGCAAGTGACAAAAGCTGAGGTTTTGAAGTCTGTTCAAGTAACAGAATTGGTAAAAGCAAGCTGTTTGCCTCTTTACTGCTTTGGGAGCCTGGGTATATTAACATACAGACACATCCTACCTACTCTACTAGGCTAATGGACATAATCATGACAGGAGTTAATATCTATTGTCCATTTCCAACACACCTTCCTGCTGCTTTATCTCCTGTGACCTAAGAAAATGTATGCTTTGTGATGTGGGCCTGGGGACCAATGTGACTGGCAAAAGAAGCCACACTGCTTGCCCAAGTGACCTTGGGCAAATTGCTTCATGTTCCTGTGCCATGGACACACCAACAGTAGAATTAGGTAAAAACTGAGCTGCAGCAGAAAAACATGCATTGGATTCAGCCTTATCTGTTCAAGCATATAACTTGCATATAACTTTCCCTCTACTCAGTTTAAAAAAAAAAAAATCCAATTACTAAATGCAGTATGTTTTCTGCAAAAGACAGGAGAGAAAAAGTCTCAGAATGCTAGACCTCATATTAGGAAAATCACAAAAAGATAACATTAGAATTTATTATCATGCTTGCTTCTCCTTCCTACAAACACCACCCTGGCAGTAAACACCAGTCTTTTGCTTTAGCTTGTGCTTTTGAGTTGGAAGCTTTCAATGCATTGTATCCTGAGGTGCAAAATCCTAATGGCATGCCATGAACAATCAAGATATTTTTTTCATTACCCTTCTCAGTCACTTAAAGAATAAGGAATAAAGTTATTTAAATAGCATGTTTCTGTGAAAGAAACCGAGGAGAGTGAATTTTGTGAAAATCACTTTCTAAGCTATGCTTTAGAAAAAAAATAACCTTTCTTTCCTCTGCAAATGCCTACAGAATGAGTTTTCATTGCTACTTTAAGCAGAAATACTCAAAATTATTGGAAATCCGTGCTGGGAAGGCATGGGGGAGGCATTTAAGCTTCTTTTACACAACACCCCTTGGTTCAGCATCAAAATAAAAGAGAGGGCATATAGGTTGTTTTCTTCAGTACATGACATGTTGTGTTAAAAATAAATAGTCCTAGAAGCAAGTGTAGTGCTGAAATATACAATACAGCTGTTTTCTCTTCAATGTTTGCTTTCATCTTTAATGAGAGTGAAATTCATGTCTGGCAAACACAACTGCCTTTAAAATTTGGTTAAATCAAAGTAACATCTACATTGATGTCAGAGTTATTGCCTAAGTAGCAATAAATAGACAAACAATTTCAAGTAAAAAAAAATTCAGTTGAATTGCACACTAGAATCTATAGCTGATGCACAGACACAGATAAGTAGGTAGACAATTTGCTTTTTCATGGCTAGTAAGTTCCATGAAGAATGTATCTGAAAATGCAGCCAATCTGCTTTATGCTGTTAATTGCTTTATACTCATTTCCAGTAGTGGCAAAATAATAAAAGAGGCATTTTCAAGGCAGCAACAAGCTATAATAATCAGAATAATGGGAATATTGTCATCAGACATAAAGGTTTCCCAGAGTCCTTTAAATTACATCTGTTCCCAGACTACATGAGAGTAGAAAAGGTATTTCTGATACCAAGTCAAAAGAAACTTCAAGTTTTGTCCACAGCCACCTGCCGGGCGTTGCAGAGCGGGTGCGAGGGAGGGTCCTGCACTATCATGGCACAACGCGTGGGCTTTTGGGACATGCCCTCTACACACGCACACACACACAGTCCCACAGGCTTTCAGGGACGCCTCAGTGACTCGTTATTATTGACTTCGGGGAAAAGGCGTGAGATACCATGGATTTTTTTACAAACTTTCCACTCTGCTTGCACTACGCGCCTCCCCTCAAAGCTCCTTGACGTTCTGTGGGGCTTTCCACACCTTAATGAATTAATGGGATCTCTCTTGCCTCCAGCACTCACAGCGGGGCACTGGAGGGCTTTTCCACCGGCCCTGTGCATCATACATCCCAGGCAGGGGAGGCAGCGAAGCGTGCCACGGTGTTTATCACATACGGAGAGACTCAGAGTGGGGTGTCCCCAGGGAAGAGGCACACGGGACATGCCAGAGCGCAGAGGAGAGCACTGGGGCCAGCCCGGCCCTCCGGGGCGCTGCCGCCGCGCCGCCCGGGGATCGCGGCTCTGCCTCTGGGGCCGGGGGCAGAACCGTGTTCCCCTCGCCTTCACCTTTCCCCAAGAAAACTTTTCTCCTGCGGCCATCGCTCCGTTTCCCACTCCCGCTGGCGATAAGGGCACGGTACCCGCCCAGCGCCCCTCTCCTCCCCGCAGCCCCGGCCGCAGCGGCAGGCTCAGCCCCGTCCCGCCGCTGTGCCGGCTCCCTCCCCGCCAAGCGCCGCCGGACCGGACCGGACCGGCTCGGCTCGGGTGTGCGGGGCGGTACTCACGCTGCTGTTATGTCCGGACCAGTGCACCATGGCTTGGTTGTGCGCCGCATCCCCGGTGAGAGCGAAGGTGGTGCTGCTCAGCCTCGGCTCCTCGGCCCCTCGCGGCCGCGCTGCTCTCCCATCCTCCGGGGGCCCTCGGGGCTGAGCGCGGCCGCCGCGCTGCCCCTCGGCCGCGGGCACCCCCCGGACGCCGCCGGCCGCCGGCGT